GTCGTGAGCCGCGTGTGCGTGGCGCTCGGGCTCGCCACCGCGAGACCTGAGTCTCTTGCAGGCGGGCCCTCCCCCCGCGGCCCTGCGGCGCCCGCCCGCCTCGGTGCCGCTCCGCGGCCCGCTACGGCGGCGCCGCCCGAGCGGGCACGGCTGCGGCCTCCGCTCGCCGCGCCCTTTCGGCCTGTGGCCTGCGGGCCTCGAGCTGTGCACTGCGGCCCGCGCGCGCTCGCCCTGCGCCTGGGCGTGCCCTGCGCGCCTGCGCCCCAGCGCGCGCGGTGCGCCCCCCCTGCGCGAGGAACGGGGCCCGCCCAGACCCAGGGCGCCGACGCTGGAGAACAAAAATGGAGCGGCGGGCTCTTGCCGCTTTCGGCCTCCGGGGGCCCTCGCCTGGGCCTCGGGGCCGTGAAGACATGATGCTGGACGCAAGACTGGCCTGGCTAGGGAATTGGGCCAGACCTCCAGGGCACACGCGTCGAACAAATTGGAGCGGCCGGGTGCCTGAGGAGGGGCCCGCACCCCCGCCACCCCACCCTGGCTGCCGGCCTCACTCGGGGGGGGCCCTGCTCGTCGCAGCCGTGGCCTGCTCGCGGCAGTCGCGCCCTGCGTGGCGCCCCGCCTCTGGTGGCGGCTGTGGTGCCCTGCCTGCGGCGCCCCCCCACGGCACAGCCCAGGCGCTGAAGCAAGGGCAACTTGGCGCTCAGGAGGAGCTCTGGTTTCCGGGCCGCTCCGTCGACCTTCAGCCGATGGGGCCTGCTCGGGGCCGAGGCCCGCGGTGGTCAGGAAACCTCCTTCGGTCCTTCTGCGGGCGTCCTCTTGGCAGCACGATGCCGGTGCGCAGCGGGCCTCATGGTCGGGAGGCGCACGGGGGCCGGCCCCGGCCCGGCGGCGCCTTCAGCGGAGCTGGGCGGCCGAGTTGTGCTGAGCCGGGGCCTCCAGAGGCTCGTGCTGGGCCGCGGGGGCCACGCCAGGCCACGGCGGAGGGCCCGTGGCGTCGAGACCTCCAGAGCCCCAGGCATCGAGCACGTGATCACCAGCCTGGGTACCAGTGCTTATACATGGAGTATGTAGGCCACTGCGGGTGAGGATGAGGTGAGGGTTCGCGGGTCGCGGGCTGGTCCTCAAGCTTCGTTTGCATACCACAACCCTCCCCGCCCCAGTCAGATTCCACCGCCCGGGGCCGCGTTCAGCATACAGAAACCACGCCCCAGGGAGGGAGTTCCGCACACCAGACCCACGACCAGGACCCTCGCTCGGCCCCGGGGCTTTTTGGGCACATGGTATACATGTTTTTCGGGTGGAGCTGGCGATCGCGCGGCGGTCGCGAGGCGGGCCGGGGCGGGCGAGGAGCGTGGCAAGCGAGGGCCGCGGGGGGGGAGTGCGTCGGCGTGTCGACGAGGCGGTTCGCGGGAGCGGGTCGCGGAGGGCGCTCGGGTCGTGCCGGGCGCCGGCCGCGGCGAGCGCGGGGCCCGTCGCGGGACGGGCCGCAGGCGGGCAGCAGGGCGGGTCGCGAGGCGGGCGGCGGCGCCGCGGCGGCAGCGAGGATCCCGCACGTCGCGGAGCCCTGCCGCGGCCACGCCTCCCTCCAGGGAGGGCGCAGGACCCGTCGGCCCGCACGCCCTAATTACGGTCCTCGCGCGCCGGCGCGTGTCGACGGGAGCCGCGTCCCCGAGGGAGCGGAAGCGGGGGGCGGGCCTCGCCCGTGGGCGGGTGCCTTGCGGAGCCGGCGGAGGTGGCACGAGCTTGGCACCGCTCGGACGTGTGCATTTTTTTCTTCTCGGCGAGAACCATCGAGGACCATCCTGGACCATCGAGCAAAGAAAACAGCGCGCACGACATCGAAACATGCACGGGACATGGACGTCCGAGCGATGGCAAGCGAGGGGGCGAGTCTCCAGAGGAGGAGGAGGAGGAGGAGGAGGAGGAGGATGTCCGAGGTGGGGTGAGGGGGGTGCTGCGCGATGGGTGAAGGTGGCCTGGCCAGCAGCAGGGGCCCCTCGGACGCGTCTCAGGAGTTCGGCAGCCTCCCTCCTGCCTGTCCCTGGTCGTCGTGCCGCCCGTCCCTCCTTCCTCTCTCTCTCTCTCTCGCGCTCTCCGTCCTCCGGCCCCTCCCTCTCTCCTCCGTGTCCCCCCTCCTTCTTCTTCCCCCTCCTCTTCGCTTCTCCTCGTCTGCCCCTTCATATCCCTCGCGCTCCTGCTGCTGCGCCGCTTGCCCTTTCCTCCTCCTCACTCCTCGTGCTCCCCGTCCTTGCCCCGTCGTCCTTCCTTTCCTCTTCCGTCTCGCCTCTGTCCTCTCCTCTCTCCTCTCGCTCATCCTCCCTCCTCGCTCTCTCTCTCTCTCTCTCTCTCTCACTGCCCCCAATCCCCCCCCTTGCCCCTGCCCCCGCTCCCGGGCCAGCTCGGAAGCACGTGTGGGGGCCGACGATCTGCCTGCCTATTCTCATCTCCTTGGAGGTTCTCGCGGGGGCTCGTCCAGTGGAGGTCGCCCCTTGGCTTTCGAAGTCGGGCCTGTCCCTCTGCAGGAGGAGTACTCAAAAATAGTCAAACCATAGTCTGGGGACGATCTTTTTTCTTATGGTTGACCGCTTTTGTATCCGTAAGGGCTTCGCCCCCTGCCGCCGGCCCCCTCTCTCGGAGAATGGGCCATGGAAGAGCTAAGTCATGAGGCCTTGGCGCTGTCGTGAAGCAGTATCGAAACTTCATGCGAAGCCGATTCGCAATCAGCAAAACCAACTGATCACAAGAGGGGTTACCACACCTGGCGATTGGTAAGACGTGTATGGTTTACGGGCTTGGTTACCACACCTTGCGATTAAAGGGCCGAGGGAGTTCTCGCAGTTTGGGTTACCACGCCTTGCGATGGATGTGCGTGAAGGGTGGCACCGAATTTCAGAAATGTGGCAAATCCCCTGTGTTTTTGGACCCTGACCCCGCGGATCTGCGTGAAGGGGTGGCGCCGAATTTCAGAAATGTGGCAAATCCCTTGTGTTTTTGGACCCTGACCCCGCGGATCTGCGTGAGGGGTGGCACCGAATTTCAGAAATGTGGCAAATCCCATGTGTTTTTGGACCCTGACCCCGCGGATCTGCGTGAGGGGTGGCACCGAATTTCAGAAATGTGGCAAATCCCATGTGTTTTTGGACCCTGACCCCGCGGATCTGCGTGAGGGGTGGCACCGAATTTCAGAAATGTGGCAAATCCCTTGTGTTTTTGGACCCTGACCCCGCGGATCTGCGTGAGGGGTGGCACCGCAGAATGCCAAATGTTCCTGTGTTTTTGGACCCTGACCCCGCGGATCTGCGTGAGGGGTGGCACCGAATTTCAGAAATGTGGCAAATCCCATGTGTTTTTGGACCCTGACCCCGCGGATCTGCGTGAGGGGTGGCACCGAATTTCAGAAATGTGGCAAATCTCCTGTGTTTTTGGACCCTGACCCCGCGGATCTGCGTGAGGGGTGTCGATTTCGAGCCCCCCCAGCAATTCAGACAACGCGCCCAGGGGGTGCTAAACAGCCGGTTTGGGCCTCCCCCCCCCTCGCGCGGTCAATCAACTAGTTTCAGTAACCAGCAATAAGTCAACTAGTTACAGTAACCAGCAAGAAGCAGAACTGTAACACTGGAAACTACAAGCTACAACTGGTACAGGAAACTGCAAACCTCGCTCCTACAGCCTGGTGGCCCCACAGGGGGGCCGGCGGACTCCAAAATCCGCCTGTAGGGGGACATGCCCGACCTAACCCTTGGCTTCAATCTCCAGATGGCCGTCTAGCCAACAGGCTTTCCGCCCAGCTGGTCCCTGCCCAAGTCCAACCAGCTGACAGGCTGCTGGTGACAGGCTGCCGGTAGTTGCCCACCGTCGGCACCGTCGCCTGGCAAGTGGCGAGCGAAGAAACAAACATGGTGGTCCTCCTGCTACCGCGGGCGGAGGGTTTCAGAGCAGAAGGCTACAACCACTCTTACCCTTGCCTTGTCGTCGCCGTGTTGGGACTCCTGATCAGAACGCGCCCTGGGAGAGGTCTGCACAGCAGTAGGATGGGCACCTTCATGCTCCCTCCACTGGTGGCGGATGCGAGCAAAGAGCGGCCGCCCGAGTCGTGTCCGGCGACAAGTGGCTCCGCACCGCGATGCCCATCGGAGCCTCCAAGGCCGCGCCGGTGCGGGGACGGGGGCCCCGCTTCCTCATCAGCGACGAGCATGTCCATACGGTCGAGCATATGATTAAGAAACCTCCTCCCGAAAAGTTGGGGCAGCGCTTCTTGACCAACTTGTCGGAAGGCTGGCCCAGTTTCTGGAGCACCTTCGCCCGCCAGCGTTGACAATATAGACTGGCCCAGAGGTTTGTCTTAAGAAACCTCCAGGGAGCTGGCCCAGGTTGCGTGAAAGTGATGATCTTCTTGATCGTATACTCGGCTGTATCCGTGCCGCCCTCGCGCTCCGGGTATACCAAGGCGAGGTCCCAATGGATGCGCCGCGAGCCCGTGGACGCGGAGTGTCGCCCCGTGTCTCGGGCCGAACGAAAGGGGGGGGATAGGGAAAGGGGGGGGGGACGACATCTGCCGCATGCAGCTGGTTTCGGCCCCGCCGCCGGGCCCATTCCTCGGTACACGGCCGCCTCCGGCGCCGGGAGGCGTTGGGAAAATCAGCTACGTGAGCTGATTCTCAAACCCCCCCTTCGCTATCCCCCCCTTTCCCAACCCCCCAGAAAACACATAGACACGATTGATCGTCGACTCCCCAGAAACTATGGGAAAATATGGGAAGTGGGGGGGGGGAGACAGAAACCCAGAGAAAATATGGGAAAATAAGGGGAATCCTTTTGTTTGTGTGTGTGTTTATTTGTGTGCCCTGGGGCCCCTTCAGTGCCCTCGGGGCCGCGGCCGAGGCCGCTGGCCCGCGAGGGCGTGCACGCAAGTATGGAGATCTGCTCCCCGCCCGCGAGAGCCCTGGGGGCTCTGCCTCGGCCTCGGCGCGGGTGTGGGGCCCTCCTCCTCCTCCTCCTCCTCCTCCTCCTCCTCCTCCTCCTCCTCCTGCTCCTCCCCCTCCTCCTCCTCCCCCTCCCCCTCCTCCTCCTCCTCCTCCTCCTCCTCCTCCTCCTCCTCCTCCTCCTCCTCCTCCCCCCCCTCCTCCTCCTCCTCCTCCTCCTCCTCCTCCTCCTCCTCCTCCTCCTCCTCCTCCTCCTCCTCCTCCTCCTCCTCCCCCTTCTCCTCTGCGGGAGCCAAGGCCGCAGAAGCGCCGTCGGCGTGAATCGCGCCGGTCTTCGTCGCGACACGCCTGGATCTTATCTTCGGGGCAGCGGGCACGTCGGATGAAGCATGGGGCTGCCGGCAGCTTCCCCACGGACACTTCTTGTCCACTGAGGGCCCCAGGGGCCCACAGAAGCTCTGCGGCACCGTGGGGCCCTCAGAGGGGGCGATGGCACTGGAGGGGGAGAGGCTGTGAGAGAGGGGTTGGTGGAATGAGGGGGTAGAGATATGTATAGAGAGATAGAGAAGGGGGGGGGAGAGAGAGAGAGAGAGAGAGAGCGGGAGAGAGTTAAAGGTAGAGATAGAGACGGTGGGAGGGAGAGAGAAAGAGAGAGAGAGAGAAAGAAAGAAAGAGAAAGAGGGAGAGAGGGAACAAGAGACGGCGAGAGGGAGGGAGGGAGGGAGAGCGCGACATAATACCCGCATCGTCGTTGAGGAGTTGATATAGCACATGCTTATCGTGGCGGCTTGCTTGGGGAGGCGCTATGAGGAAGGCGTGCAGTTCAGCTCAGGTGGAGGAAACTTTGCCCTTTGGTTGAGGTTATGATTCATGGTGACGGGTTTGGCTCCAAGGCAAGAGGACCTCATTGTCTTACCGTAAGAACTGTTGTTTCTCTTGGACATCTAGATAGTAGTAGTAGTCGTCGTAGTAGCAGTAGTCGTCGTAGTAGTCGTCGTCGTCGTAGTAGTAGTAGTAGTCGTCGTCGTCGTAGTAGTCGTAGTAGTAGTAGTAGTAGTAGTAGTAGTAGTAGTAGTAGTAGTAGTAGTAGTAGTAGTAGTAGTAGAAGTAGTCATAGTAGGCATAGTAGTAGTAGTAGTAGTAGTAGTAGTAGTAGCAGTAGTAGTAGTAGTAGTAGTAGAAATATAAGTGTCATAATAATAATAAAAGTCGTATGGTTAGTCGTATGCATAGTCGTAGCCGTCGTCATAATAGGAGTCGTCGTCGGAGTAGTAGTACTACGACGAGTACTTGTAGTAGTAGCAGTAGTAGTAGTAGTAGTAGTAGTAGTAGTCGTTGTAGTCGTCGCCGTAGTAGCAGGAGTAGTAGTAGTAGTAGTAGTAGTAGTAGTAGTAGTAGTAGTAGCAGTAGTAGTAGTAGTAGTAGTAGTAGTAGTAGTAGTAGTAGTGTTAATACTTGTCATAATAATACTATCAGTCGTATGATTAGTCGTGCGATTAATATTAGTCGTCGTCGTAATAGTACTCGTCGTCGTAGTAGTAGTACTACGACAAGTATTAGTAGTAGTAGTAGTAGTAGTAGTAGTAGTAGTAGTAGTAGTAGTAGGTAGTAGTAGGTGTAGTAGTAGTCGTCGTCGTAGTAGCAGGAGTAGTAGTAGTTAGTAGTAGTAGTAGAAGTAGAAGACTAGTCGTAGTCGTAGTCGCAGTCGTAGTAGTAGTAGTAGTAGTAGTAGTAGTCGTAGTAGTAGTAGTAGTAGTAGTAGTAGTCGTAGTAGTCGTCGTAGTAGTCGTCGTAGTAGTCGTCGTAGTAGTAGTAGTAATACTTGTCATAATAATAATGATAATATCGGTCGTGTGATTAGTCGTATGACTAGTCGTAGTCGCCGTCGTAATAGTAGCCGCTGCCGAAGTAGTAGTAGTACGACTAGTAGCTCCTGAATGGGGCCCTCGCTGACCCGTGTGCTGCACTGGACATTCACCAGGCATGGTTTGCACTCGTGTTTGACGTTTGGGTTGGCATCTCTTCACCCTCGCCTCAGATCCCCTTGCAGCCGCAACCCATCTTCTCGTGCAAATCTGCGCGTTCTGTGCCTAGTCAATGCGACCGCTTCTCGATAGTGAAACCGAGGAGAGCGACGAGGAGGATGCGGAGAAAAAACAAGCGTGAGGATGAACAAGCGTTCGTTGCCGCAGTTCTGAATTTATTACGGGAGCTGCCGAGCATGACCGCTTCACATTTCGATTCGGCGGCACGTTGAAGGCCTGCACGCTGGCCTCGGGCAACGCGGCCTACCTCTACCTCGGCTTGGGGTTCATCCAGATGCTGAAGGCTGGCTGCGGAGATGCTGGGCCGAGATCAAGGGGAGGTTGAGCGATTGTTTTCCGCCGCCTTTCTCTTGGGAAGGAGAAGGACGCGGAGGAATCATGCGGAGGAGGGGTGGGGAGACCAGGAGAAGGTATTCACCAACATGTCAAGGCCAGAGGGAATGCCACCCTTAGATCGGCAAGATCGCTTCTCGGAGGGGCGGCAGGGCGGCGCTGGGACCGCTGCCGACCAGGCTCCTCTCTGTCGACGTTCTCGTCCGCGCAGCCCGCTTTCGTTTGCGTCGTTTTGCCGTGCTCGACCTTCTCGCTTCCTCCATGAGTGCATCTCTGCGTCCGCTTCGCCCCTCTCATAGCGCGTCCTCTGCTCGCCCTCCTTCTCCTCTTCGTCCCCTCCCCCCTGATGAGATGACTGCTTCCTCCCTGTCGAATCGTGAGGCGTGTCGTTGGGGCGGGCCTGGCGACTCGCTGGAGACATCCGAACTGTGTCTCCACACTGAGACATGTTTGATCATGGTCTTCAACACAGGGCCCTGGGCCTGGCGCCGCACACGATAGTCAGTCGTCAACATCTTGCACGTACATGGGCGAGTGCAAGCGGTTTTCGATTAATCAGGGGCTCTCGCCATGGAGTCGCCAACGCTCGCCTTATTCAACATGTCATGGCTGCAAGGGTGGAGCGCGACCGGTTTTCAATGTGAGGCTCTCGCTCTGGCGCCGCTCGCACGCGTTTTTTTTAGTATCCTCAACAGTGGCACGGATGGAGGGCGGGTGGTTTTCCAAGTGGGGATCTCGCGTTGGCGCGCGCACATCTCCTCTTCAATCGGTTCATCAACACGGATGGGAGCGCATGCTTGCTTGGCGGACTAGTTTCTACATGTCCGACAGTTGCGCGGATGGAGAGCAAATGGGCGTTGTCATTCCAGCGTTGTTTTGGAAGCCAGGAGTTCTTTGGCCACGAAGCATTGGATTATCTGTGGCATGGTTGCATAAATTTCAGAAGCATTTGGCACGGTGTCGCTCTTGCCTCGCTTCTCTCGCAGGTCTTCCTGGATGGAAGCATGGATAGAGAGAGAGATTGGTATATAGATATGGAGCGAGGAAACGGGACGGAGAAAGATAGTGAGACAGGGCAAGGGTGAGATGCCCCTGAGGAACATCTGGCATGGAGGAGACAGCTCGTCGAGATTGATAGACAGTTCTCACTCGGAATTGCGGCCGGGTGTCAGTGCGATGATGTTTCCGCCTTCTGCCACATATTATGCCGCTCTCATTCTTCTACGTTGGCAGTTTATCTTGGCAAATTATTTATCCATTGCGCTCGCACTCAGCCTTGCCGGAGGCATTTACACCTGCGGTGGTGCTCGCTGTTATGTGGGCGCTGGGTGCAACTAGAGCATCCCGGTCTGCCAAGTGGTGCGGCATCCCCTGTCGATGTGCGCAAACATATCGTGTCCACAATGCCCTATGAATCGTCCCCCCGTGTCCTTTCTCATCCTTGATTGCCGCTCCATCCATCACGCATCCTCCTCCTTACAATGGTTGCTTACGGCTATTCCCCTCTCCCCTATTTTGCCCGCGTCATTATGCTTGCCGTCGTTCAACATATAGCTCTAGGTTCACTGGTTTATTCATTACTTCCGTCCGCCGAGTGGCGTGTGGACTCCTTCGTCGTCCTCGTCCTTCTCGTCCTCGTCGTCCTCGTCCTCGTCCTCCTCCTTCTCCTCGTCCTCCTCCTTCTCCTCCTCCTTGTGCCCCTCCTCGTCGTCCTCGTCCTTCTCGTCTCGTCGTCGTCCTCGTCGTCCTCCTCCTCCTCCTCCTCCTCCCTGTGCCCCTCCTCTCCCTCGCCCTCCTCCTCCTCGTCGAAGTCTTCGCCGCCCTCCTCCCTCCGGCAGTCTTTCTCCGACTCCTCCGTCTCCGACTCCGACTCATCTTCATCATCTCTTCTCTTTCTTCTTTTCCAGCGTTTTTTTCAATTTTCAGCAGTTTGCCTCTCCTCCTTGTTTTTCCTGATTGTTTCCCTCTTCTGCCTCTTTTGCCTGCTATTCTGGCTCCTCCCCCAATTCCTCCTTCCCCATGCTCGTTCTCTGTCTGACTCATCCTCGCCCCCCCCACCCCTTACCTTCATCTGCACGATACTCTTTTTGCCTTTACTATCAGATGAATGCGATACTGCGTTCCTGACCAGGCTGCCGTCCGGCTCTGTAAGTTCCTTTGCGCTACTCGCCCATGGATTCTCTGCCTTCTTCCGTCTACAATGACGCTGGCACCCTCTAATTCGGCGGCGAGCGAGGGCGTGAAACGCGAAGGAGAAGGCCTCCCCAGAAGGCGGCGGGACTTCTCAGAAGCCCTGGCGCCGTCTGAGAAGGTTTCTGCTCGGAAGCTGGAGCCTATACATTACCAGTGGCGGCCCGTCTTCCAATCCCACGACTTTTTGAGGGTCAGGGACGACGTCGGGGTGGTGTAGTGTATACTTGTTTCATCCTTTTCTTAGGAAGCATGGGAAAATGTGTACACCGGGGTCCCGTACACACCAGGCTCCGCTTTCTTGCGCAAAGACCCGTGCAGGGCCGCGCAGAAACGTCGGGGTATAGAGCGCGGCTCCCTACCTGTGCCCTCGGCGAAGGCTCCGACAAGCGTCTGCGCAGGCCCGGGGGGCCCCCCCAGCCTTCAGAGGAGGCCCGCCCACTGGGCTCACTGGCCACCCAGGGCTCGCCGCCGACCCGCGGCGGTGCCAACCGCACCCGCTCCGGTCCCAGCAAGGCGGCGCGCCTGCTCGCGCGGACCTCGGGGCGGTGGCCCGAGGCATCGAAGCGACGCGCCTGGGAGGTGCAGCGCGGTCAGCCCGCACGGTTCCAGGCCTCCTGGACGGGGCCGGAGCAGATGGGGTCGGAGGATCGCGCCGCATCGCCGATGCATCGGCGATGCATCGGCGGTGCGGCTCGATGTGGGGCCCCGTTCTCTCCACGCGGACGTCGCTGATACATTGCCGACGTCGCCGATGCATCGCCGGTGCATCGCCGATGCATCGGCGATGCGGCGCGATCCTCCAACCCCATCTACTCCGGCCCCATCCAGGAGGCCTCTAATGATAAGGATTGGCAATTTTCCCAACCGCACTCTTGCATCCCTGTCTCCTCGGCCCATCCTTGGCCACTTTCGTTGGCCGCGCCCCGCTCGAGAAGCTTCGGTATGGGCGTCCAAGGCCCTTGCGCCCTTATCGCGCATCCTTATACGGTAGGCTGTAGGTCGGAGGCTGCGTCCTCGCACCCCCCCTCAGGAGCCCCTCGCTCAGGAGCCGCAGTGTGAAGCCATCCCTTAACTCAGTAGTCTTCTTTCTTCACGTCCAGCTGCGGATTCCTTCCCAGACATTCCATCCTCAACTAAACATCACCCTCCTTCACTCATTTTTGCCTCCTCCTCAATCACGGCCCCCCGTTGGTTCTTGTCCTGGTCACCCTTCTCCCCCTCCCACTCTTTAATCCCATCCTTCGGGGCCTCTGTCTTGTGTAGCTCCTCCTCCTCCCCCTCAGCCTTCTCTTCCTCCCCCTTCTCCCCATTGTCCTGCTGCATCTCTTCCTCCCAGTCCTCCTCCTCCTGCTCCTCCTTCCTCCTCCGCTGCGGTTCGTCTACGTTATGGTGGCTGGGACGATGGTGGAGGTGAAGGGCGAGTTGCATGCGACGGCGTTAGGGCTCTTCCTCATGATCGTATCTGAGGTGGCCAGCTGGCACGTGCGTCGAAATCAATGTTCGATTACCCATACGGTGGAACCCCATGCCAAGAACCACCATGCTTTTCTCCAGGGGGCCCTGGGGTTCTTCGGTTTCGATGGTTTTTCATGGGAAGCGTGACGCTCCTGCACCAAACATCAATGGACGTCTTGTGGTTCCAGGGTTGGATTTCTCGTGGAAGGTTTCTCGTGGTCGAGCTCTCACTGTACCCGTACTGACGTTGCAGTTTTGGGCTCGAGCGGTGCCGTGGTCACTCAAGCTCAAGCACTGGCTCAAGTGATGGCCGCGTCCTGCACGGTCCCGCCCGTTGTGGTCATGTCGGGCCTGTAATGGCATGTTTGTGTATTGTTTGGCTCCGCGAGGTGCACACAGACTGGACTGGGCTGTTCGCAACCGTTCGGCGGACATGCGATGTTCGGCAAGGGCGCAACCAGTGGCGCAACGGCTAGCAGGCCGTTTCTTGTATACCGCCGAGTGCGCAACCCACTGTGCAACCTTTTGCGCGCCATTGTCACCGCGGCCCCCGAGTGCGAAGCCTATGGCGCAACCAAGGTGACGCTATTATATTCTCGGCTGCCGAGCGCGCAAGCTATGGCGCAACCAGCGGCCAGCAATGTTCTTCTCGGCCGCCGAGTGTGACGTATGGCTCAAGCAATCGCAGACAGTTCGTCTCGGCCGCTGAGTGTGCAACCGAAGGCGCAAGCAACGGCACGCCACTCCCTTCGAGTGCGCAACCACTGATTGAGCAACCTGCGGCGCAGCCGCGTGACCCAGCCCATGGCGCAACCGCGCAGAGCGCAATCCAGGTACCGCGGCACGCCATGGATCGCGCTGCCCACGCAGCCCCCAGAGAGTGCAGCCCATGGCCCTGCGGATGGCACAGCACCCGGCGGAGCGGCGCAGCCCGTTGCCGGTGCAGCTCATGGCGCAACCAGTGGGATGGAGCAGCCTACGGCGCAACGCATGGCTCGATTCGTGGGTGGCGCAACCCATGGGTCGCGCAACCTAGTGCGCAGCCCATGAATGACGCCAGTTCTGGCGCAACTGATGGATCGCGCAACCCGCGCGCGAGACACCTCACGGGTGGCACGCACACGCGCGCACATACACACACACGCACACACACACACACACACACACACACACACGCACACACACACGCACTCGCGCACGCACGCAGGCACGCACGCACACAACACACATGCACATACACACACACACACTTCTGGCGTCAGAGCCCCGCGCGCAGCGACAGGACGTCCGAAGGTCAGAGAAGAGGGCGCGCGTGCGTCCAAAGGCCGGATCCTCAAGCCGATTGGGGCGAACGCACACACACACACCACACCACACGCACGCACACACACACACACACTTTCAAGTCAGCGGCGCAGAGGGTCTTCAAGCGTGAGCAGCAGATGGAAGTGCTAACTGCGATCGAGCACACACACACACACTTTCAAGTCAGCGGCGCAGAGGGTCCTCAAGCGTGAGCAGCAGATGGAAGTGCTAACTGCGATCGAGCACACACACATACACACACCCACACGCACACGCACGCCCGCGCACGCCCGCGCACAAGCGCACGCGCACGCCCGCGCACACGCGCACGCACCTGGCTGTTTCTACGAGGGCTATGCCCGAACTGTGCTCGCTGTCCTGGCTGGCGCTGGGGCCCAGGTCTGCGAGGTGCCCCGTGCTTTCTCTTGCGCGGCGCCGGTGGTGGCCACGCAGGGCCGCCCCAAATTCGACCCGAGAGGTGCCCCGGGGGGGTGAGCAGCGTGCGCCGCGTTGGTCGACGCCTCCCGCCTCGCAGCGCCGCCCGGCGCGGAGCGCCACCGCCTGGGCGCAAGGGGGGGCCGACGGCCAGGCGGGGGGGGGGGCACCGCGTGCGCTCGGCGCCTTCCCCGGAGGGCACGCGCGGCGACCTCGGCCCCCCCCCCGCGGATCTGGCTCGTTGACGGGCGGGCGCAGCGGCGCGCTGATGTGTCTGAGGAGGGTTCGCTTGGGTTCTGGCGTCGCGTGGAGGGGCACCTGCCTCTCGAAGCACAGTCGCGCGTGGGAAGGTCAGCCTCGTCCTGACCCGCCCCATTTGATGCGCCCCGCGAGGGCCGGAGGAAGAAGAAGAGAGCTGAGAGCGCCGTGTGTTCGGAAGGCACATTGAGCAGCAGGGGCATGGCAGCGATGGGCGGGTAGTCGGTTTCACCTCGCCTGCCACCGGCCCTCTGATTCGCACCTGCTACGAGAAGGGGTGGAGGAGGAGGAGGAGGAGGAGGAGGAAGAGGAGGAGGAGGAGGAGGAGGAGGAGATGGAGGAGCAAGAGGAGGAGGAGCAGGAAGAGGAGGATGTGGAGAAGCAGAAGTGGAACGAGGGGGGGAGGGACATCGGCCGACGGCGAATGTCCGCACTGCTGCGAAGGGAACAGCATAGATACCCTACCCATGGGGGTAGTCGGCCAGTGTAGCCAAGGTCATGTCAGTTGGGAGGGGGATCGGCGAAACGATGCGCAGACGGAGCCAGGGGCCGCCGCAAGACCCTCCTCCGCCAACCCTGCCGAGCCTTTTTTTGTTGGCTTTCCTTCTCTCTCTCTCCACAGGGATGACTCGTTGGTCTTCCCCTCCCGTGTTGGAAGGC